GGAGGGGGGCGCGAGGGGAGCGCCGCTTCCCCCCCCGAAGTCGGCCGGCGCGCTGGCGCGGGAAGGGCTCCCGCGCAGCCCCAAACCAGAGCCGCGCCCGGGGAGTTGGGCGAGTTCCCCAGCCCGCGCGACCCACTTAAAGCAGTGGAGGCTCCTGGCTACGTGGGGCGTTACTTGGGGTGTTTCTGGCGGTCGTGCTTAGGGAGCCTTCACTGGGGCCATTTTATGTTTTCGGTTTTTTTTAAAAAAAAGGACGAAGGTTGAAAAGCACTTATCTCGGTTCCTTCCGAATCGGTAAAATGGCGAGGGGGAAGCAAAACCCCCACGGTATCTCCGACTAGCAAAAGCACCAAAAAGCAAACAAAAACAAAAAAACCCCCAGCCTACAGTGGTCCAAGTGCCCCCCGTTTATTTCGCCTTGAAATTTGCCTCCGTCTCCCCGTTTGTCCCTTTTTGGTTACTTGGCGATCACGTAGGTTTGCAAAAAGCAGTCACATCAATAACCTTTTCAGTCACCAACGCAGTGTGATCACGAGTCCACCCCACTCTGATTTTTATTGTGACAATAAAAAAACACCTTTTCGCCCGGTCCCGAACGCCGCAGACCAGCCCGCGGCCGCCCGACCCCGTACCGTTGGCGGCTCGGGCCGATCCATCATGGCTGCGGCCGCTTCCCCTGCTTTTCGGTCCCTGAGCCTTGTGGTCCTCCTCCCTTTGGCTGCCCAGTTTATATAGAGCCATTGCCGCTCTCTAATATAGACTCTGCCAGGATGGGAAGGTGCTTTTCAGGCCTACGTCACCGCCTCTCCATTTAAACACCAGATCCGGCTTTAAATAGTGAGCGCTGCTGCGCGCGGGGCTGGGAGGTGCGCGCTCCCTGGGCGAGTGGCAGGCGCGTGCGGAGCTCGGCTCCTTTCGAGCTCCTCTCCTTCGGCTGTCATTTCGCACCCGGCGGAGGCTGCTCTCGCAGCCCCAAGTTTTTGTTTTAAATGCAGCACCTGGGGTTTGCCGTCTTTGTTAGGAGAAAATAAAAATGCTGTCCCTTCTTTATATTTTATTGTTTAAGAATTTTAGCTCAGATGTCTAATCGTTGTTGTTGTTTTTATATTAGAACATAGATATGCATGTTGTCGGGAATTTTTAAAATTGCTTTCTTATGTTATCTCTTAGCTGCAGAGGACTTGCCTTTGTAGTATTTTGTTCACCAGGTATTCAGGAAATATGTTAGAAATAGAACTCGTAGTATTGCATTATGTTTTTCTGTAATAAATATAGGAGACATGAAGCTTTTCAAAGAAATAGAATTAAAGTGCTTAAAGGTAGGATCTTATGTCCACAATACATTTATGCATGAGGAAATTGTGAGTAATGAGAGTGAGGCGGCTTTGTGCAAACTGGATTTTTAAAAAAATGAAAATTCTAAATAGATGGTATTTTATTGCATTGGATATTGATAAATGCAATACAGAAATCAATCCAATTTATTTTCTAATATTACACTAATGGACTAACTTTTGAAAGGAACCTTCTAATTAATCATTAGATAATGCACTATGGCCCTTTAAGCTTGGAATATCTGTGTATTGAAAAACAGGACAAACATCCTAAATTACTTTGGATTTCATAAAATGCACAAACTTTGGCTCAAGTAAAATTTAGCATTTTGAATAATAATTTGGAAATTACTTATTTCAAATAGTGCCTATGTACCCACATACTTTTACAAATGTAAGTATTTTGAGGGCAATTCTGCTGAATTATTCTTAATGCATATGCTTTATGAAGACTACACATTCCCCTTCCGTGAACTATAGTACTAATGAATCCATTATGTTAAGTTGTGGGTAGCCTACTTATGGGTAATCTCTTGAGTAACTACTTTATAAATGTATTTTTGTAATTTAGTAGTTAAATTGTTATAATTAAGGTGCTACCCATAGGCAGGTATGCTTTCCTTATATATATAGAATCAGAATGTTAAATAAGGAGGCACTGTAGAGATGCACAGTTTATACATGAATAATTTAAAGTTCACAGAGGCAGATTTAGCAAAATAAAAAAGCAAGTTAGTGAGTAGAATAGCAAAGACAAGAACCCAGAAAAATGAATTGTTTTTCTGGTTGTAATGAAAAGGAAAAAGTAGTTCTTAATGGTTGAGGCAAGTTGTATGGGGGAACTCATTATTTGTATTTTTGCTAGGCAGGGGCACATATTCTTAGAGGATTCCCTGAGATAAGGTTATTGTTCATAGTGATGCTAATGAAACATTTCTGTTTCAGGTTTGCTTATGAGAACAAACCATTGCTTTTATTGAATAGCCAGTAACTTTTCCCTTAAGCAAGATACAGAACACAAATAAAGAGGCCTATTATCACTGGTATACAAACAGTTTAATGGGATAATCTTAAAAGTACAGACTAGGTTAAAAAAAAAAAGTTAGGTGATTTTAAAATTTGAATAGTCATTAGGTTCCAATTATATCCAGGAAATAACTATAGTACATAAGGTTCTCTAAAGTCTAAGACTTAGTGACAAGTTTATGAGATATAATAGGGATCATCCAAGTAAGGAATAATAGGAACCAGACATTGCAACCCATAAAGCTTTGGATCACAATAGTTGTTTTGACCACAACATTGGTAATTGTATGACCTTGTATGTGTAAGGACCTTTTCTGTATATGAATTACAGTAAATACTCTTAAAACTTTTATTAAAATATGCATTCATCAAATAATTCTATTTAAGGTAAATGACGTTTTCTAGGATGGCCATGTCTTTTAACATTGTATCTTCTAAAATAAGTTGTAGATAGTTGAAAAAATTACCGTTGTATTACCTTGAATTTGTGAGAACGTGTTACACATTTTTATATGTGAAAAGTTGATAGTTTTATTTAAAATTTTTTTCATTTTTAATTTAAAGCCTAAATTATACAGATCCGTGATCGAAGATGTTATAAATGATGTGAGAGACATCTTTTTGGATGATGGAGTCGATGAACAAGTTCTGATGGAACTAAAAACTGTGAGTTTGTACTTCTCCCCCTTTAAAAAATATTCTCTTTAACCAGAGACTAATCCATAATTTTTCCATAGGATGGACATTTGACTTTGTTTTCAGAGGAGAATAAGTGAAGGGTGCTGTTTTAAATCCCAACTCTACCTCATTCTTCCTGTCACCTTATGCAATCTACTTATATTTTAGTGTCCTTATGTGTGAGATGGGAGATAGTACTTACTGTACAGTTTTGTTTTGAGGATTAAATGTAATAACCATATAAAGCTTAGCACAGTGCCTAGCAATAGCATTAGCTATTATTAATGGACAGTTAATAATCTACACTTACGGTCTAATTATTTGGCATATCTACAAGTTTTTTTATGGCCTTAGTGTACTGTATTCTAAAATGTGTTTATGTTATGGAGATTGAATGAGTGCTTGAAAAAGAATTTCATGTTCTTGAGTTTGATTTTTTTATATTGGCCAAATATGGGGCTTATGATATATATTTTACTTTGGGAGTTGGTTTTCTGTCTTTTGGATTTCCTTGAATTTAAGCAGAAATAGTTAGATATTTTTATTTAGCATTTGTGTTTTCTTGGTGGTGTAATGACTCATGAAATTGTGGAATATTTTGCCTTACTTCTCAGGAGTGTGGTTCTCAAAGTATGGTGTGTGGACTCCTTTGGTTTTCCCACAGGCTCTTTCAGGAGTCTGTGAGGTTGACCAAATGCCCAAGTCCAAATAATTGTTTGTCACATTTTAATGTAAAAGTTGTGTTCTGTGAAAAGTGATCAGTTCCACTCTCAACTCAAATGCACATGTGCTTTTCCTTGAGATAACAATTCTGTATGCAGCAAAAGTTATTTATGCATACTCCCCATATGATGCACTGAAATTAAAAAGGTGTTTGGCCTTAACCAGTTTGGCTCAGTGGATAGAGCGTTGGCCTGTGGACTGAAGGGTCCCGGGTTTGATTCCAGTTAAGGACAGGTATCTTGGTTGCTGGCTCCATCCCCAGTAGGAGGTGTGCAGGAGGTAGTTGATTGACAATCTCTCTCATCAATGTTTCTATTTCTATCCCTCTCCCTTCCTCTCTCTAAAAAAAATGAATAAAAATATATTTTTTAAAAAGGTGTTTGCTTAAGGTCAAGATGAGATCAGCGTCGATATTAAGAAATGCAAGTATTTGATATTCTGTAATGAAATGTGTTAATATTTGGAGTATCTGCTTAATTCACTGAACTCATTTTTCCAAATGACCAATGCATGATGTTGCAGAACTGGTTCAAAATGAAAGATAGCCCTAGATGGTTTGGCTCAGTGGATAGAGCATTGGCCTGTCGACCAAAGGGTCCTAGGTTTGATTCCCGTCAAGGGCACATACCTTGGTTGCAGGCTCCTCCCTGGCCTGGGCCCTGGTCAGGGTTCTTGCAGGAGGCAACCAATTGGTGTGATTCTCTCATGTTAATATTTCTCTCTGTCTTTCCCTCTTCCATTCTCCCTAAAAAAGAAAAAAAAGATCAGTGGAAAAATATCCTTGGATGAGGATTAACAAAAAAACAACAAAATGTGAAAGATAAAGTAATGGATCTTAATCAAAGAGTATGTCAGGCTCATTGGTATATGGTTTCAGATTCTACGTTGCAGCTAATTTTAAATAAATCATCACTTAAAATACTTTTTCCTTTTCCGAATACCCAACTGTGGGAAGGCAGATTTTCTTCATTTACTCAAACCAAAATGACAAAGTGAATGCAGAAGCAGATATGAGATTCCAGCTATTTTTCTTTAAGCCATTTCTCACTAAACTTTATTTGCACAGAATTATTTTCATTAAAAATATGTAATTTATGTTAATGTGTAATGGCTACATTACTTTTAAATGAGTTAGTAAACATTAAAAATAATGTTTTTAAATGCTCGCCTGAGGATATGTTTATTGATTTATAGAGAGAGAGGAGGGGGGAGGAGAGTGAAACATTGATGTGAGAAAAATTGATCATTACCTTCTGTATAGGCCCTGACGTGAGATGGAACCCGCAGCCTACATATGTTCTCTGACGGGAAATCAAACCTGCAATCTTTTTGGTGTACACAGGTTATACTCCAACCAATAAAGTTACCTGGCCAGGGCTAGTAGACATTTTTTAAAAATCTTAGTTATAATTTCATAAAAGTTCTTTGAGTTCCTCAGTAATTTTTGAAAGTGGTAATGGATCCTGAGACCAAAACATTTTAAAACTGCTGGCTTAGAAATTGGGCGTTGAGCTCATTTAGAGCTATGTACAAATAAGTTAATGAATGCTAAGGAACATTTGTTGTGGTCTTATTTATCTATTCAGTGGAAGTGTAGAGGCTATAATTTAGAAACTTATAAGTAAATCTCACCTTTATTATGGTGATGAAATATATCTTAGAGTGTTTAGACAATTTATTCTGGGCATGTAGAATTTTCAATAAGAACCTGCCCATGTGGGGAAGGAAAAATAGGTTTGAGTGAGATGAGATATTTATCTTGAGAGAAATATAATGGTTACTAAAACTGAAGAGTAGGGATCTAAAAATATAAGTGAAAGAATGCCAACTTTGAGACATGAGTTGGAAGAAGAGCAGTATAAACTGCTCAAACTGCTTTAAGTATCTTGGGAAAATGAATAAGAAGAGAATAAGCTTAAAAACAAAGGAAAGAAGAATAATTTGATACATGGAGTGAATATTTTACAATTTATGTTACATTTATAAAATTTTTTCAATTGTCCTTTTCCTGTGACCTTAGGTAGAAGATATGACACTTTTAGGTGTAGAAAATCAATCCCAAAGACTTGAATTTACCCCAGGCCAACCTCTAGTGGTCAATCCAGATTGTGTGTTATCTCTTCTTGCTTTTCAGAGAGTCTGGAAAATTGATTTTACCTACTGGTCCCAGTATAATCCAGGCATTCTTTACAAAGAGAATGAGCTATCTTTGAGACCAAGTAGCTCGACCTGCATTTTTAACACATTTGGATTTTAAAAATATATATGCATGTTTGTGTGAATGTATACATATGCACACATACGCACATATACATATACATGTATGTATAATATATTGTATAGAATATATAAATAATACAATTATATATGTTTTATAGGTTATGCATTGATTTTTTTGTTTAATGGTTAGTGTTTTTATTTTTTTTAAATTGATTTCAGAGAAGAAGGGATAGGGAGAGAGATATAGAAACATCAATGATGAGAGAATCATTGATTGGCTGCCTCCTGCATGCCCCCCCACTAGTGCTCGAGCCCACAACAGGGGCATGTGCCCTGACCAGGAACCGAACTATGAACTGGTTCATAGGTCAACACTCAACCACTGAGCCATGCTGGCCAGGCTAATGGTTGGTTTTTAATATCACAGATTTGGACATCTACAACTTCGAATCCCCAGCTTCTACCACAATACCTGGCATAGGTGATTGGCATTCAGTAAATATTTAATTTAACTGGTTAATAACAAATGTGACTCCAGTATCTAACTGAATAAAGTAGTTTAATTTTTTTTTTTAATGGAGCATACTTTTCTATTCTCGGTTGTAAGTGGGTTAAAAATAAAACTTAGATTAAAATGAGTTTGTTATTTTAATTCTCTGCACTAATTTCTTCAGCATCTCATTAGAATTTCTAGAATGTGTCCTAGTTTTAACAGTTTGACAGCTGCGTTGTCTAATAGAACTTTCTGTGGATATGGAAATGTTCTATATTTGTGCTGTGCATTATGGCAGCTATTAGCCACATGTGACTATTTAAGTACCTGAAATGTGGCTAGTGGAATTGAAATGAATTTTTATTTAATTATAATTAATTTTCATTTAAATTGCCATGTGTGGTTATTGGCTACTGTTCTGAATCCTGTAGTTTTAAACATTCTTGCTAATAAAAACTAAAATTAATTTTGTATTTTATGGTTTATAAGGGACTTTGTCATTAGCCCTAGACCCTTCCTCCTTTTTGCCCATTTCACAAATATTCATTAAAAGCTTCCATATGGCTTTAAAGGATCAGCGATTAATTAGATTATGAATTAAAATGAATAATGAGAGTGCATGTAATTTGAAATTTATCTAGATAATGCAAGAAGGGGGGATGTTTAAAAAATTTCAACCTCATTCTTGAGGTTATCTCTTAAAACACTGTGAGCCTACTTTAGTGTGTTATCTATGAGAGACAGGAAAGTCATAAAACATAGTCTTAATTTTCATTATATCTATATATGAATGTAAACTGTGTTTTGGAATGGTGAGTGACTATGGGTGGGAATGATAGTCTAGAAATTCTCTTCTGAAAGTGAATGATAAAGTCATCTTGATTTTTAGATTGAGAACTACCCATATCCAAACAGCAAGCACTATGGGAGATAGAAAATACAGCCTTTCTTCTCAGTAAAACAGAGAAGACTTTCCTGAATTTGGAGACAAATCTGAAACTCAGTTTATCTTCCTCTGGATTAGGTTTTTCAACCTTGGCACTACTGACATTTTGGACCTGTTAATTCTTTGTTAGAGAGGGCTATCCTATTACCGTAGGATGTTAGCAGCATAACTGGCCTCTGCCCACTAGATGCCAGTAGTACCCCTCAGTTCTAACAACCAAAAATGTCTCCAGGCATTGCCCAGTGACTCTGGTGGGGCAAAACCACCCCTGATTGAGAACCACTATTCTAAATGTACTGTAGTTTATATATAAATACTTGGATCATAGGTTGAATAATCTATTATTCCACTTCATTTGCCTTCAGGGAAAGCTCTGTTCTCAAACATCATTTCTTTTTTATTTTTAAAAAAATATATTTTATTGATTTTTTTACAGAGAGGAAGGGAGAGGGATAGAGAGCTAGAAACATCGATGAGAGAGAAACATCAATCAGCTGCCTCCTGCACGCCCCCCACTGGGGATGTGCCTGCAGCCAAGGTACATGCCCTTGACCGGAATCGAACCCGGGACCCTTGAGTCTGCAGGCTGACGCTCTATCCACTGAG